ATTGTAAAGTGCGGTGTTTTCTTAGCGGTACGGAATAAATTCTTTATATACGAGCTTCGGCTTCACAGGGTAAAGATGTTACATAATTAGTAAAAACACAGTTAATATTATTGCCGTAGGAGAATACGTCTACATCGTCTTATTAACGTTCAACCCAGCATAGTTGTTAAACCAGGATGTCTACCCAGGCCTCAAGAGATTTTGCTGCAACTTTTGCTTGCGAAATCAAAGTATCCTAAACATTTTGTCTGCGAGCGTAAAATTTTCACAGTCCCGACAGACTGGAGTTTCCGAAACTCGCATCTTGAGCGGACAAACTGTAACGCAATTACATGCAGCCCAGATGCTGAAGCACAGCACTTAAACAGATTGTCTTCGTATGGATTTTATGCCCCAGAAGCGCCTCTCACACGAGGTACAACGCGATCGAGTTTGATGGAACGGGCCATACATTAATGTGGTACTTCTGGTATGCCTGGCAACACCAGGGACAGGGAGACATCACACGGGACGATCGGGGTTCCATTCCCGGCAGGGCAAGAGATTTCTGTTTACCACAACGTCCAGATCGACTCTGAGGCAAAAAACCGGCTTCCCTTCTGAGCGGGAAAAGTGGCCGCGTTGTGAAACCAATCACCCCCATCTCGTGGCGAGGTTAAAAACGCGTGGAGCTACGCGTCCATTCGCCATACACGTGCTCGACGTGGAGCTTGGTTAAACAGAAGGACGCGTCTTCCTATGCCTATATGCCCCTCCTCCCGCAATGCAACAATGGTCTGGGATTGCCATGGCTGATCAGTCTGCGAGGCCTACCTTGTAACGTGCATTTCAAAGGTGCATTTTGACTTGCGCGTGTCCGCCACGGCCAACACATCACAGGATGGAACTAGCCGACTGCATGGCGCCAAACCTGAGCAGACACACGACTGGACGCCGCCTCACCACTGCGCGTGGATCATACACAGGTTTGCTCTCGCTACACTCCTGACGCGCTGTTGGAAACAGGTCTGGGGAGTTCCGAGGTTGGAATTTCGGCAGCACTTGGTGCGACAGCGAAGCTACCGCTTGGGTCAGATTACACGCCCGCTGCGTCAGTTCCGTAGATATGTGCCCTCGGCACGGCCTGGTCGCTGTACGGAATGGCCAGGTAGCATGAAAGCTACTTAAGAGTCTTACATTTTTGTCATTCTACTTATTGTCCATCACCAGGACGACGACTGTCCTGACAATAAAGGCAGCAAGCACCTCTGAAACGTCGGAAAACGTTTTCAGACGTCTGAGACGGTCACCATGAAGACGTACGAGGGACGTCGAATTTAACGCATTCTTAACCTGGGCGCTAGATGGAGTTGCGGAGCCAGCTTCGCGCACAGAGCGGTGTTCAAAGTATCTAGCAATTTGTGTCACGCCATGTAACCGCTTGGGGAGGGGGGGGGAGAGAGAGAGAGGAGGTATAGCTCCTCTCTTCCTTGACCTCGGCACTAGATGGAGGTGTGTGGTCAGCGTCACGCCCCGGCCGCGCTTTACCCCGGTTCCCATTGGACAGGAGGCCGGGTGGGTCCCAGGACCGGTCTGGACGCAGAGGCTAGAGGAAAAATTCTGTGTCCCCGTCGGGGATCGAACCCCGGTCGTCCGGTCCGTAGCCAGTCACTTTACCGACTGAGGTAAGCCGGTGTTGCATACGAAATTTTTACTTGCATACCGATAAATGAGCGTTTATTTTTCAGCTACGTGTACTGCACCTCGGTCATACGGGTCAGGTTCTTAGAAAGCAGAAACTTGAAAGGACTCGACTGACGCGAACTTTTTTCAAGTATACTGAAAGGACTGTTTCAAGTTTCAAGTATGACAGGAACCAGTTCGACCTATCACTTGACTTGAACTAACTTCAATAAGGCCTTGAAGAATGTGAACTATTTGACTCTCCAGTTTACTGAAGCATACAATCAGCTGTTTCTTTTTTCCCCGCTGGTATTACTGACAAGCTGATTGAAAAAAACGTAATTTGTTCTGTTAATAAAGTTTCTGAATTGTCAACGTTCACAAAATAAGTGATAAGTGAAGACATGAAAGAAGTTAACATTAAACATTTCAGCGCGAATGGCGTTGGAAGACGGCGAAATTCGTGTGCAGCCAGGAAGTGAACAAAATTACGAAGTCGAACAAGAGAGGCACAAGTGTCATTTATTGATCTGTGCCAGCCACAGGCAGGTCGGTTTCACATCCCCGCGTCATTCTTATTTATTTCTCCACGTTCTGACGCCAACGCCGTCATATGCTCAGGCGCGCTACAAGCCGATTCTTCTTCGTAATCCAGTTCCTTATGGAAAACAGATCTATTTGTCTCCTCCTTTTCCAACAAGGGCGATATTTCACTCACCGGGAAGGCAACAGCTACGAGCACTTCTGCTGACGCCACGTTATTTTACACGGGCATCCAGTGAACTTGCATAAATGCGAACATGATCTTGCACAGTGGAGAGGTGAACTACTACTATCTGCAGCTTTTGGCATAACATGAAACAGCGGAAACGAAACGAAGCACTGACCATTCGACCAGCGGTGAATAAAACAAACAGAGAACTGTCATTTCTGATCCCACGTTTTTCCTACGTCCAAACACGTCAGCGTCGCGTTGACAAAGCCCTTCATACAAACACCAGTTACAAATTTAGTGTTCGACGTCAGTGGTCAAATAAAAAAAATGAGAGGCAGAGAACATTAACGAAATATCTAGGATATTTCCTCTCGCCGGGCCCTGGACAGCAGATCACTCACTCACTGTGCCCTGAGCCCTGCGTACGACAGACATTAGCAACCACACCTACAAACATATTTCACGCCATGCGTTTCCGTTTCATGACACATCAGTACCAATTCCTGTAGTCGTTAGAATCGATTTATCTTCTAGCCTCAATATCAAACGTTTCCAAATCGCTGACACCTTTTGTGTTCTGCTAGCTCTGAAAAGAGGAAACTGAAAAGGAATGTTCTAATATGCTTCAGCTTTTCAAAAGACGGCGGCGACGGCTTCTCGGAAGATTGCGGAATAAAGCGGGAAACGAGGAGTCACAAGTTATGACTGCGAAAGGCAAGCCTGAGGGAACGATTTTCTAACAGACTGCGAAGGAGAAACGCAGGATCGACTCACACAAATGAACTACGAACGAACGAACGAACGACAACTGTAACCACTGAGATATAAAGTTTACTCTCGCACGCAAGGGCCGCAAGGCCACAGAAACCAGGACGCATGGTTCTCATTCCGAAGCTTCGTAGAGCGATTACCGGGACGGGTCTTTCAATTAGCCCACAGCAGCTTCCCTCCAAATCCTTATCTGTGTGTAATTCATGCAGCTCTTATCACATCATTCGAAGCCATAAAAACACCAGCAGGTAAAATAGCCTACCCTGAAGAAGGCCTTGTCCAGGAAACAACTAATCAATCTCCTTTCTCTGTCTACTTAACGACCACTTTGCACCCATACGTCGTTAGCTTTTAGATGTTCTGCGTTCTCCTCACTCCACGCTTGTTATGCCACGAGAGCATAAGCCCTTTTAACGTATCCACCGCGATACCTGAGCTACACGAGCAGACAATGGACACAATCCCATAATTTAAGTTCAGACATTAAAACATTTCATTTAACCATGCGCGCACCTGCGTTCCTCTCGCTTCCTACGTCTAATGAAACTTTGCTTGGATTAAGCGGCCTATGGCGCAGAATCCAGTCGGTACAGCTGAATTAATCACTGGGAAAACTAGGCTAGGCGGTCTCCTGGGACGTCAAAAACAGAGCGGATAAAAAATACGAGAAACAGTGTAAAACAATACAATACGCGTCAAAAATAGAAAGGAGAAACAGAAGAAAATAATTAGCGAGTACCCGTTAGCGGCTTTGTAATTATCGATGTTATCTTATGCAAATGTTTGACGCGTGTCAAGTGAAGACTGCAGTGCGAGGAGTCGGCGGCACATTTGATGGCAAATAGGCGTAATCACTCGGCAAGACAGACTTCGGACTAACGCAGTCTGTTTGCCTCTCTTCAGTAATTTGTCTCCTTTTTCGTAAGCCTACTGGTTTCTTCGGACGTTTTTCACTCCAACGCGCATTTCTTATCTTTCGCTTGGGTTCCCCTGCAGATTTTCCGCCTAATATTTTGTGTCCATTCTCATATATCTTGCGTGCTACATGCCCGACCACCTAATTCTCCCCAGTGTGGTTCCCCCCCCCCCCCCCCCCCCATATTCACGATGCTTCGCACTGTGCAGTTTCACGGCGTAAATTTCCATCCGCCCCCTTTCTCCCGTTGTCTAGCGCCGGTCCCTAGTCAACGTCTGGAAACGAATTCTGGAATTTATTGCAACTGCCTGACATGCCACATTCTCCAGCGATATGCACTGGACTGTGTGATATTCCAGCCGACACATACCCTCGATGGAAGGTAGTGCTTCTGCAAGGATGAACTGTACAGTTCCTGGCGCCACGTACGAGTGATTGATACACCCTTGCCGCACCTCGCCACTCTTTATTGTATTGCCCTGATATGGTAGTTTTAATCTTCCTTGGCTCACCGATCTTCAGGCAGGGACGGACGAAGGGTATTCGACGATGTAATCGGCAAACAGCTTGGCGTGTGGGTGACGATTGGTTTCATCCACTGAGCTACAAAACCCCGAAACAAACCTGGCGATGATCTTCAAGTGAGAGTATAACGAGCAGCAAGAGAGTAATTCAAGGGAGCGAGAGGCAAAACTGATAATTAAAATACTGATATGGCGAACATCAACTAGATATTTTACCTGCTTCTGAAAGCACTTAAAGGAAAATAACACATATAACAAAGTTTGAAGTAGGAAGCTCAAAACTTACACTCGGATCTGAATTTCGAAATTAACGCCGACAGCACTTCGGATGGTCAGGTTAAGTCCCTGACTTTAAATATGATCAAAGAAGGTATTCATAATGCACAGTATCTGGGCAAGCCAGCGAACTCACGGGATAAGAAGAGGTCTTGCAGGCCCTGGGTGGCCTGGCACAGCAGGGACCAAGTTTCAGACGCGCTGAGACCAGCATCTCGCAGCCGCAGGACGTCGGCCACCGTCACCGCCGTCCTCGCCGCCATCCTGTCAACATACACGATTACACACCTTTGCAAAACTGTATGAATGAGAAAAGTTTTCTCGGCGGCCTTACGGTCCACTGAATGCACATACCAATCTGTTGTTCGGCAAGCGACATCTTGCAAAGCAGTCTCCTTTTTAAACGTTCGTACAAACACACTAAATCAAAAATCCTTTTGCAGATATAAACTACAGAGCTTGATTACATAAGAGGACCGAAAAGATGTATTCCTTGGAGTACACTGAAATTTCGAAGGTGTTCTTGACGGGCATTCATTTTAGTAGGGCGACCAAAGGACTTTCAAATGCATCAGCGGTATCAAAGGCAAGTCCCCTAGTCGGCCAGCCCCGATTTTAGTCCCACCTACAGCAGACAGGAAGAAATCAACCATACAAACATTTAAGCACAGTTACGGAGTTCTACAGGGTGATCAAAAAGTAACTCAACCCATCCGTGACACATGTTCTATTCGTCAAGAAGCAAACTACATTGAAGTCCGAAAAATACAATAAAGCAAAGTTAAGTGCCGCAAATGTCCACCGAGTTCAGCGACGCGTGCATTCGCTCTTTTCTTCACGTTCGATGTAGCCCGTCAAAGACTTCCCGTGACACGGAAATGCTTCACCAGTCGAGATATTGTCGAATTGTTTGCCACAGGAGAATCGGGAAACGCATTTCAAAACTCATTCTGGCAAGAGTCAAGTAAGAACGAGGTGCCAGGCGGCGTTCGACAATGAACAGTCGTTGCACTTGTTAAAAAGACGCCCTTGTACTTCTGCTGTTGAAAGACAACCGACGGACTGGCGCGAGAAGGTTACATGACGCGACCTGCGTGGGATCATGTACAGTCACATCGACATTGCGTGTTCAACGAAACCCCAACTTCTGATCAGGACAGGTCTGAACCTGCCCTGTCCTCATTTCTTCGGACATTTTTAGTTTATATAGGATTTGAGGTTTTCACGTCGGTGAGTCTGAAGACGACTGTTTTCTGGGCTGTTGCGCCGTGTCGTCTGGTAAAAGTTCAAAGACGCTTCAGAGGTCCTTTAAGCCTCCATCGGCACGGCCCTGATGATGGAGGCGGCAAGGACCTCTGAAACGTTGGAAAACATCTATCAGACTACACGGCGCTATAACCCAGAAGAGAGTCACCGTCAAGTATCTCCCCACTCTTCTGCAAAGCGACAGAATATCCTCAGCTCGTACTCAGTAACTCCACGGAACAGACCTCTTCAGAACTTAATAATACTGCTTCATTCAAATCGGCAGGAAATCCTCTGTCTTTCGTAGAACTCAAAGGCTCATTTCCGTGTTCACAAAACCCCACCACTGAACGTTACCCTGAGGCCAGCGCAGATCACGCTCTGACACCCTGTTCCTATAATAACCCCGTTACTACAACCCGCAGCCATCAGATTTCCAAATGGTCTCTTCCCTTCAAGTCGTCCGCCCTTCTCACGCCTTCTTTTGCGTGCCATATGCCCTGCCCATCTCATCCTAGATTTCATATCCCAAAAACACTTGATGTAGGGTACAAATTACAAACCTCTCCATATTACGCGGTTTTCTCCAGCCACCTGTTACACCATCACTCTTAGGTCCAGATGCTGCTCTCAAACACTCTCAGTTTTCGTCATCCGCTTTCGGCTAAGAGACCAAGGTTCGCACCCACACAAACAGGTAAACCAAAGCACTCTTGTGTATTCTAGTCGTTACGTGCTTAAGTATAGGGGCAGGGAAAGGAGCACTTTGAAATGAAAGCCGCAGGCATTACCCGGATCTACTCCGCTCGTAGTTTAAGCGTAAACACATTTACTTTCACTCTCGTTCTGTTGTTCCAATATATATATATATATATATATATATATATATATATATATATTGGAACAAGCTATCCGGACGATCGCCATGGCAACAAACAGAGACTCCGTGCTTTTTCCTGGAGCTGTGGCCTCAGAAAGCGATGTTCGGAAGCAAAATGAGTTTCATGAGACTCAACTGCAGGGTTCATCAACGAGTGTCAACAGATGATCCTCATCACAGCAAAACTTCGCAAAGGACAAATTTAAACCATTTCCTGCACACCAGATGTAACGTTTACATTACCACTGGACAACCGCGCTATTATTAGGGTAATTACACATTGTCCGATACAGATACACTTAAACTACAAACAAAGTTTGGTTCGAAGAAATTCCTTGAGATTCGCTGGCGAGATTCACTTCCGGACTGAATTTATTTATTTACAGAAGTTTTTTAAACAACCCAGTCTATATAGCGTCAAATGAGAGAATGACAGTGAATTATGAATCGGAAAGGATATGAAAGGAAGCGGTCGTTGACTAATTTAACGCACTATTCTGGTATTTGCCTCGAACGACTGAGGAAAACCACCAAAATCCTTGCGAGGATAGCCTGTCTCCGGGCCGAGAATTGAACCCGGGATTCCCTGATACGAAGCTGGAGTGAAGTGCTGAAGCGGGTACAGAAATGAGACTAGCAGAAACCTAGCACATGAGATTTCCCATAAAAATCCCGCGAGTATTCCTTGTGTCCTACAGAGCAGCCACACTTTGACCTGCTGACACCACAACGCCACTCGCTCATCGTTCAAGTCCAAACATTTTCACCTCTCACTTGGTTTTCGAACACTTGTTGCTCTCCCAAGAATAAAATGAATAAAATATATTTCAGTAAGTACAAATTCTGAGGAAAGCGTTCGGTAAATTTTGTCCTCACCTTTGAATCCTTTTCGTCTCCTCCTTCAAAAACACGTCACAGCCCTTTGCTTCTTCTTCTTTCCTCGGCGTTATGAACTGGTAACTAAATTGCACATTACCGACGCCAGGCTTCAAGCACTCAGAACTCTGATAAGACCATCAAGAGAATTCATGACCTGCTTTATAAAGCCGTGTGTGCACTTGTAGGTAGCCCTGAAGATAGAAGCATCAACATCCTGCGAAACGTTAGTATCTACCAACCAGTCCGCATTGGGTTACACCCCCCCCCCCCCCCCAAAAAACCGAAATCGGCATCTCAGATCTCACACACGTCGCAAAACGAAGACTCCGACTAAAATAAACGAAGGAATGCGAGCAATTCAGTGCAAACTGACCTCAAAGCATCACAGCCATTTTAAACATATCGCATGTATCAATATCGAAGCGTATTATCGTACACTCATGAATGGTCGACATATTTCTGCCGCGTGCCGATCAAATTCATGGCAAAACGGCATTCAGTGTTATGCCAATTACTCCGACCATGTGGCCTGCCCAACTTCGTGACTTGGTCGAAGCCGAAGACCGCCAGCAGACTTCGACTGCTGTTAATAGCAGGCAAACAATTATTTTCAACATCGCCTCGTTCAACGCGGACTCCATTACACGCCTCAGAATAAATTTAGACAATTTTATACCGAAGACCGGAGGTTCGATTATACACTGTCTGCCAAACACGCTGTGTTAGCACGTGAAAAATACCAACGCTGTTTAAAAATCTGAAGACGGTTCAGCTTTTTCGTCTGGGTTCGTACTTCTAACTTGGTTTGTCTTATTCGGCACCGCGAAGTATATTCGGCTCGACCGGCATCCCGCGTCTTTCACTAGTGTACGAAATCTATAATGTTGCATGATGCACTCTGTGGGTTTCAAACTTGGCCAGTCACGCTAAGTGAAGGTTGTTTGGAAACTCGGAGGCCTTCTTTCGCCCGTTTTCACTACGATGTTCACGATGTAAGCCAGTTTCGAAGACGCCACTTCATCAATCAAACTCAGCAACGTCGCCTGTCGATGTAACTGCTGTTGGCTCATTTTATATGTATTTAGTTAATATTTAGGTGTCCGCACAACCGGCATGTTCTCAGTCATGATATCGATGCCCACTGGGTGGATTTCAAAAATCACATAAATGAATCACATCGCGGACATTTGGCCCATAGCAAGTCACTTTTACGTAGCAGAGCAAGGCCAGTGCGAGGTAAAAACGTGTTTACTTTCGAAAGGGATTAGTCGCAATGCTGGCAGAGTTAAGGCTTGAGGTTTATTGTCACAAAGCGTTAGAAATCTAGATTGCAGACCGTCCTTGGGAGAGCTGCCATATTGAATCTAGGAACGTCAAATTTGCAGGTGGAAAAATATGTCCTTGGCTGAATAACATCTCCACTAGTAATTGATAGTATCTATTATATATCTTGGCATGTTTAAAGGTGGGCTTAAATGAACAAAGAAAACGGAAGGCCGCCCCCCCCCCCCCCCCCCCCCCAGGAAGCCGAAATCGGCATCTCAGATCTCACACACGTCGCAAAACGAAGACTCCGACTAAAATAAACGAAGGAATGCGAGCAATTCAGTGCAAACTGACCTCAAAGCATCACAGCCATTTTAAACATATCGCATGTATCAATATCGAAGCGTATTATCGTACACTCATGAATGGTCGACATATTTCTGCCGCGTGCCGATCAAATTCATGGCAAAACGGCATTCAGTGTTATGCCAATTACTCCGACCATGTGGCCTGCCCAACTTCGTGACTTGGTCGAAGCCGAAGACCGCCAGCAGACTTCGACTGCTGTTAATAGCAGGCAAACAATTATTTTCAACATCGCCTCGTTCAACGCGGACTCCATTACACGCCTCAGAATAAATTTAGACAATTTTATACCGAAGACCGGAGGTTCGATTATACACTGTCTGCCAAACACGCTGTGTTAGCACGTGAAAAATACCAACGCTGTTTAAAAATCTGAAGACGGTTCAGCTTTTTCGTCTGGGTTCGTACTTCTAACTTGGTTTGTCTTATTCGGCACCGCGAAGTATATTCGGCTCGACCGGCATCCCGCGTCTTTCACCAGCTCTCTCGTCCCTCACACTGCAAGTAACCCTCTTACGCTGTTACCGTGGTAACGTGTGCCGCGTTGTTTATGATTCTACCCCGGGCAGAATCATGGCATCAAAACGTAAACGTAGAAGTGATAATGAAGGAAAGAAAAACTGTGTGG